AAAAAAGGCAGCTAGGTCAGGACAGCTGCAACAAAAACAGGTGCTACTCCAAGATGCCAAAAAGGGCCAATACTGTAGGCCCTTACAAGCTACTCTAAGCATTTTGGTTTTTACTTAGAATGAGACTCAGAGCAGCGGACAAGTTAATATGACATGACTTGTTTTAAAAACAATATCCAAATACAAGATTTCTTAACAATGTCAGTAGACTGGTAGAGACAGATCATTCTTTTTTTTATTATTTTTGGCCATTCTTAAGTCCTGGAGGACAGGTGTCTTTGGGACAGACTAGCTCTGATCCTCCTCTGTACTCTACAGTAAATGTTAAGCCTGTTCTGCTTCAGTTTCCTTTCTGATCTTCTGCTGGTATGGAGTCAGTTTTAGCTCTTGAGATTTCCCATTCTCACCTTTTCAGGCTGAGAATGACAACTCAGGGCAAATTAGTCTGGGTAGGTTAGTCTGGGTTGAAGCCTTTTCTTGCAGAACAGAAAAGGCACAAGAAGTGGTAAGGTTTTAGTCTCAGAAATCATCCCCAGATTTGGACTTCCTAAGAGCTTACAGAGTGATAATGGGCCTTTGTTGTACAGTAACAGTCACACAGTGTCTCTCACGCACGAGGCATTCTCTAGCACCTTCACTGTGCATGCAGGCCACAATCATTAGGAAAGGCAGAAAAAATTAATGTGAACCTAAACAGACATCCTTGCAAAATGGCTCAGGAATCCCATCTACAGGGGCCTCACTTACCTATAGCTTTCATTAAAATAAGACATACACCTCAAATTCTAGGCCTCAGTCTATTTGGAGTGCTTTATGGATGCCCTTTTCTCACTGCTTTTCTCTTCACAATGCCTTACTGAAGCATCCTCACTAGCTAAATTCCAATAGACTCTTTAACAGCTAATGGAAGCTCAACCTAAAGAAAAGGAAAATTTGTGTATTCCATCCTAGAGACTTAATACTGGTAAAGGCCCCTCTTTCATCATCTCCTTCCCTAGGACCAACTTGGGAAGGAGCATACACCATGCTTCTGCAAACTCCATCAGCTGTCAAGGTAGCTGGCCTGGACTCCTGGATACACCACATCCAACTCAAGTCCTGGGACTCAGAGCCTGTCACTGAGTGTGAGCAACCATCATCAGAATACTCCTGTGAACCTTAAGATTCTTGTTCAAGGAAAAAATAAACCCTTCAGATAAGTAATCTAAGATGTTACTCTTTGCCTTTTACTAATCATTTTATCACTTGAGGGAGAATGCAATTCCTTTTTAAGGCTGGATATGTGGCCTGCTCTTCTAGACCAGTAGTACATCTTGACTTCCTTGTGGGCATCCCCACTCCAAGATGATTAGAATAAACTATAAGACACTATTGATGAGTTACAAAAAAAGTTCAGTGTTTCATAGTTTAACTCACCATTATAAGGTAGCTCAGTGGCCTATAAACTATACTCTTAACAATCCTCAACTATAGGACACCATAGTAGAAAAGCCTCCTTATGTTAGGAATAGAAGAGTCACTTCTATTCTCACTGGCCTAACTCTACTAAATACGTGTGTTGACCCCCTACCCACCACCTCCAAAAAAAGTACACACATAACTTTCTAGGCTGAAGACTGGTTTGTAACAAACTGTCATAACCACCCTGGAAATGGATGGAAGCCCCCAATGGCACTCATCAGTCCAGTGGAAACAATTTGTGGCCCAGGAAACCCCTTGGATGGACAGGAAGATGTATACTGGGATTTGCATGGTTACAAGGCAAAAGTGTCAAAAATATTGATAACCCTGAAAACTTACCCTGACTATAGCATCAATGGTTTAGAAGTGTGTTTCACTGGTATAACATTTGGCTCTTATCCTTATCTCTTCTCTAGGGTTAGCAGATGTCATGCCACACATCGAGGCCTAACTAACTACACTCAGAGGATGGTGGCTGGTCTCTCCTGAATGAAGAAGTAAAATTTATGAGGTAAGCTATCCTCCAAAATTAGATGACATTAGACATTCTAACAGTAGCACAAGGGGTACCTTGAACGTTGTGTTATACAGTCCTGATCCTTCTGCTAGTGTCTCAATAGATAGCTATTCAAGATATGTAGACCACAAGTTAATGGCATGTAAGATTCTGAAATTCCCTGGACTTTCTCATTTTCTTTATGAGAAACTATTACTGGATCTTCCTGGTGGGAGACCTTGTTGGCTATATTCATAATTACCCTGATGACTTTTTTTTTCTTTCTTTCTTTTTTTTTGTATTTTGTGCAGGGTCTCACTACACAGCTCAAACTCATAGTGATTCTCCTGTTTTCAGCCTCCCCAGTGCTGGGATTACAGGTGCGCATCACCATGCCTGGACTCAGCTCAGCGTGCCCAGGGTTGGGGCCAACACTGTATGTGGTACCAGGGATCAAACCCAGCCCCAAGCGCTGGCCCTACCAGATGATTTTATTATTGGCCCCTGTGTACTGTTTTTGTGGCCTTGTCACCTCCAGAATTAAGGCTGTACATCAACCCAAGACAAAAACACCTGGTGTCTATCTAGGGCCTTTAGGTAGACCCTCCATGAAGTATCTCTGACTGCCAATCACTACAACCCTCTTCAGCTGGAAGTAACCAGATCAGTCTTTGACCCTTGCCCCCTCACAACAGTTAGAGGTACTTCTTCAGAGGGCAATATTATAGATAGTTAAGTTACATAGAAATATTGTAGGCAGACAGGACTGAGCCCTTGAGAGGTCAATGCAAAGGACAACTGGGGCTGGAGGCATAGTCACTGAAGGCCAGGCTTCACATAAAAGCAGGAGGACTCACCCAGATCTTCCCCCTAGAGATGAGCAGCAGTGATTTGATATTCTAAGCAGGCATCAATCACTTGGGGTGGAGGAACAAACCTCCTTACCCCACCTCTTCCAGGAAAATCCTCGCTCATCCCACCCATATGTGTAAGCTAAATGACTTCTTTCCCCATTTCACTCCACTTCATCAACACTACCATAGCTACTATATTTGTTCTAATCTTGCTGATTCACCATGGATTTATCCCACCTCATCATATCCATCCTATAATGTGCCACTGGGTCAATATTACCTAAGCAACTTTACTTGTAATCGTCGATGGATTGCTGTTCTGTCCCACCTTCAGCCTACCTCACCTCTTGGTTCTGCTCAATAAAACACCTGTGAGAAGCAGGGTTGGTGGGCAACCCACTTTCTGGACCTTCTTCTGTCCCTCAGAAAGCAGCTTTCTTTCTCTCAATAAATTCCTCCTACTCTTAAAAAAAAAAAAAAGAAAGTAAGTAAGTAAGTAAGAAAAGAAAAGAAAAAAGAGAAGCTGGGGATATGAAGATCACAAGAAAAGGAGATGGAGAAAAAGTCAATCCGAAAAGATAAAAACCATGAAGAAAAAGTGTCCTGGAAGACATGATATAGAAAGGATGCTGCTTATAGGTCAATTTGCCTCTTCTCTTTTTATACTGATAGTACAAGTGAGTTCATAATTCTTATAGTGGAGCATTTAATCTTCTAGAGAAAGTATGTATTTCCAAAATGCTGCTATTATAAAAAACTCTAGGGCTGGGGAGATAACTCAGTAGTCTAAATGCCTGCCTGGCAAGTGCAAGGACCCAAGTTTGAGCCAAGGTACCACATGCCATGCCACCCTGGAACACAGGGAACATCATATCCTGAAACTGGATGTGATAGCGTATGCCTACAATACGAGTGCCGGAGAGGGTGAGACAGGAGGGCCTCAAGTCTGAACTGGGTAGCGAGACCTTACATCCAATAAATAATAAAATAAAAAATAAAGACAAAGAACTCTGCAATGAAAACTTCTACCACTTATTTGTTCTGTTTACTTTAGAACATAACAGAACATACCTTAGAATGTAACAGAAACCCTGTTATGGTTTGTGTCTAGTTGTCCCCCAAAAACTCATGCAGTCAT